ATTTGTTTTAAACATTTGGAAGAGCTTCATGGATTGAGGGCGGGTGATGTTCAAAATGTGGTTTTCGCTTTAGCGCCGCGCAGATTCATTTTACAAGTTTACGAGAGCTTCACGGATTGAGGGCGGGTGGTTTTCAAAACGCGGCTCTCGCCTTAGCGCCGCGCACATTCATTCTAAACATGTACGAGAGTTCCACGGATTCCCATGATCAACGTACCAGACATGGCGTTCTGGAAGGATTCAGGATTATGCGGGTGCAACAGTTATGTTGATTCGCTGTGTCGGAGTCCCAAAAATGATGTCTGACACGATTCCGGATCGTCAAGACGCAGCAGTCAGGTTGATACGTGGCGTTGAAATCCCGAGAACGATTTTTTGGCATGGTTCAGAATCTTCAAACGGTTGTCTTCCAACGAGGCAGTTCCCTCAATGGAAATGAACCGTTGTTTCGGCCTGTGAAGAGGGAGCTTGGGAGGAGGGCTAATTCCAACATCGTTGATGACTCTTGGGTTTACACTGGTCCTCCTCATCCTTCCTTCCTCCTCCTTCCTTCCTCCTCCTCGTCCTCCTCCTCCCCCTCCTCCTCCTCCTCCTCCTCCTCCTCCTCCTCCTCCTCTTCCTCCTCCTCCTCCCCCTCCGCAGGCCACGGGGAGACCGCCCCATGCAGGCCCCTGCGAGGGCAGTGCCCGCATCCATACTTTCGCAGAGGCCGATCGACAGTTCCACGGCTTTCCGTATAGCGGCCGCCTTTCGGACTCGTCTCCAAGGCGCTCATTTTCAACCTTCTCCTCCTCCTGCTCCTCCTCCTCCTCCTCTTTTGCGCTGGGCGGGCATAAAGGCTACGCCTTCTTGCGTTCCTCCTCCTTCTCCTGATTCCTGATTCCCGATGGCTGGAAGAAGCTTCGTTCTCAGCCCTCCCCCCCTTGGCCGGTCGGCCCTGGGGGGGGATCAAATTAGGGCCGGGTGACCCCTGGAGCACCGCTCCAGGGGTCACCAGGTGGCTTGTGAAAGTAAAGTCAGAACTGGCAGGCGGGGAGAAGGAGGAAAGAAGACCAAGACCTCAAGGAAAACATACCTTAAAGTAGGGACAGACACAAAACGTGTGCCGTCAAGCTTTCCAGAGGCTCCTTGGAAGCTCCTTCCAAGAGCTTTCAGAGCTCCTTCGAGAGGAGTTGGAAGGCCTTTCTGGCGCTCCTCTGTCCGTGTTTGGGATTTTTAAAGTACCGTAAAGTAGGGACAGACAGACAGGCGGGAAGGCAGACAGGGAGACCTTCACCTTCTCCTCCTCCTCCTCCTCCTCCTCCTCCTCCTCCTCCTCCTCCTCCTCCTCCTCCCTGCCTCCTCCTCCCTGCCTCCGGCCGCTTGGCCCCCTCCCCCCAGCGCGCCCAGCAGGTCCGGTTGCCGGGCGGCGAGGTCCCCCGCGCCCGCCCCCCCCGAGGGGGGGAGGGGGGCGGCCCGCTCCCTCCGCGGCCTCGCAGCATCTCGAGGGGCGAGGAGGAGGAGGGGCGAGGAGGAGGAGGAGGATGAGGAGGAGGAGGAGGAGGAAGAGGAGGAGCCTCAAGGAAGGTTCGACGACAACCTGATGGAGGCGGGCGCCTTTGCTTCCTGGTAGGGTCGCTGATATTGACCAGGTTTCGTCTGATTCACTGGCTCACAGGCGGAGGAGGAGGACGAGGAGGAAAAGGAAGACCAGTGTCAACCCAAGACTCATCAGCGATGTTGGAAGACACCCTCCCTCCCTGCTCCCTCTTCGCAGGCCCGCACAAGGTTTCATTTCCAAAGAGGAATTTGGCCCGTTGGAGGACAACCGTGTGAAAATCCTGAAACGTGCCAGACCACTGTTCTCAGGATTTCAACGCCGCGAGTTAACCTGACTGTTACGCTTTGGCGATCCTGAATCGTGCCAGGACACAGTTCCTGGGATTTCACACCGCGAATCAACGTAACTGTTGCGCCCTGGCAAGCCTGAACCGCTCCAAAACACAGTTTTGGCACGTTCACCATGGGATTCACTGACACGGCTGCAAATGTTTAACACGTGCGTGTGCAGCGCCAAGGCGATAGCCACATGTTGAAAACGACCGGTCCTCAATCCGTGAAGCTCTTGTACCTTTAAAAAACGAACGCGCGCGGCGCTAAGGCGAGCACAACATTTTAAACAAGAAGCCGCCCTCAGTCCGTGAAGCTCTCGCAAATGTTTAAAACGAATGCGCGCGGCGCTAAGGCGATAACCACATTTTGAAAACCACCCGCCCTCAATCCGTGAATTTCCTGCAAAATTTTAGAGGTCCTGGGGGAAGGCCCCGGGAGGAGGAATGAGGGAGGAGGGAGGTGGGAGGAGATAGGAGGGCTTCCCTAGGAGGAGGAGGGAGGAGGAGGAGGAAGAGGAGGAGGAAGAGGAGGAGGAGGAGGAGGAAAGATGAGGAGGGAGGAGGAGGGGCAGCGAGCGCGATCTGCGTTTCTGGAGCTTTCCTGGGCTCCCTGCCCCGCGCCCCCCCTCTCACCGCCTGTGGTCGCCTCCAAGGGCCAATCTCGCTGGCCGCTGAAGCCCAGTGCAAGCTTGAGCGCGACGGGTCCGCTCCGAAGCCGCCGGCTACCAAACGTGTTGATTTGGGGCAGGGCAGACGTAAGATCTGAGGTTCTCGCGAATCGGGGTCGCAAGGGCTGCCGCCGTGGTTTTCGACACAAAAACACAAGTGCCTATCTCGAATGCCTGTTGAAGCGGGTTCGACCCCCCGTCCCAAAATTCCAGAGTCGGGGCGGTCGACGCGGGGGAGTGCAAGTCGTTTCGAAAAAAAACGCACACATCTGAAAACCGAGGCCTGCTTCCTCAGATGAACATTCAAGTCGGGGTCGCGGGGGTCGCTCTTGCGCCATCTCGTCGTTGTACCTTGGCGTTTCTTGTCCGAAGCGCTGGTATTGACGGATCAGGCGCGCTGGCTGAGGGTATTGGGATTTGGTCCTAGAAACAACGTTGCCCCGCTCCCCCTTTCCCAGCGACCTCCAACACGATCCCACCCTGCGTCGTGAAAAAGATGACGGCGGGAAGTGTTTGGCCACATTCGCCATCCGCGGGCCCTCACCGGGCTGGGGGCTTCAGGAAAACGGCTCCAGGTGAAAAGCTGGTCCCAGGGAAAAGATCCAGAGCTCCGGGGAACCACGGTGCGAAACACTTTTTGGTCTGCGGGTCGAGAGCGGGCCTCTTCTGGTTAAGAGCTAGGCGGGGCGCGCAAAGCACTAATTGGGGAGACAGGGCGCGGGCGGGCGGGGCCTCAGGCGGCCGGAGGGTGCGGGGTGCAGGCGGTGCCGAAGAGCTTGCACAGGAAAAGGTACGCCTTGGACAGAAGCCGGAGACGAAGTCCCGGAGGGAGAGCGAAGTGATGTTGCCGTCAACGGCGCGTCAGAATCATTATCCTCGAGTGCTGCGTGGGGAGGGACGTGACCAGGTCGACGTCTGAGGGGTAGAGGCAGACCAGGTAGGCGAAGTGCAACAGGTGCCACCAACTGGTAGGGAGAGGCCCAGGAGATGAGGAGGACCACGAAGACGATGTGCAACGTTGTGCCACCGGGTGGTCGGTAGCGGCCTGGGGTGGTAGTCCAATCCACGTCCAGGTAGCAGCTAAGAGGTGCGGCCAGACGGTACGAAACACATCACGGAGGAGGGGTAGGAGGAGGAGGAGGAGGAGGAGGCGGAGGAAGAGGAGAAAGAGGAGGAGGAGGAGGAGGAGGAGGAGCATGCGCGCGGGAATGGGCCATTATCGTCAGAGCCGTCCGAACCCCGACCGGGACAGTGCAGGTCAGCTCTGCCAGCTCACGCTCTCCAGGTGGGGACGGGTGCTGCGAAGCCCGAAGGAGACGGCACCCCTCCCCGCTCTGGGGGGTAATCGGATCGGCCAGCGGGGCCAAGTGTTCCCGGCGGGTGTCGGGATGGTTTTGGATTTGTCCCGTCTGAGTGTCCGACTTTGGCGACGTTCGGGACGACGAGAGCGGGAACGACAATGGAGACCCATGCCGAGAAACACCCTGCTCGCCTTCAGGGTGCCCTGGGCTTCTTGGGTTTCTATGGCTTTGCTACGGAGAGCGTGACGTTCCCACACCAAAGATCAACGGACGTCCTGGGGTCTCAGGGTTGGGTTTCTTGTTGAAGGTTTCTTGTGGACTGGCCTCCTCTGTACCAGGATTCGGGCCCCTTCAGGTCCTTCCGAGCTGGCCGAAGACGTCGCGTCCCACCCAGAAACGCCAGCTCCTGCATCCTGAGCATGAGGGGGGTCGGTGGACATTCAGCACAAACATGCAAGCTCTTCGAAAGCAGACTTCATTCCAATCTTGCTGCTTTCGTGAACCAGGTGAGGGTCGGGATCTTTCACAGCTGCTTGAGCTCGCTTCCAAAAGTCGGTATTGCCGCCCCGATCGGCCTTCTGTGGGCCACGTTCTGTCTGGGAGCGTCGGGAGACCAAAAAGGCTAACATGTTAAGTTGTATCAAACAGTTACAAATAATCCGTGATTCTGGCTTTTCGGAGCCCCCGTCAGGGTCATGATGTATTCCTCTTGAGGGGACTTGGGGGGCACTGTGGGCCGTCGTGACTCCATTTGGGGCCACATTGGAGCGCTGTTGGGGCGTCTCGAGGCCTCTTGTACCGTCCCAGGGCCCTCTTGGGACCCCTTCGGGCCGTCTTGGGGTTCTCGGGCTTCTGGGAAAGTCATGCTACGCGCCCCGAGAATGACGCGGTGATCCCTAGAAAGTCTGGCAGTCGAGGTTCTAGACCCCCGAACGAACACTGGCAGTACTCAACGCAGAGAGCTCGAAGGGACCTGAGGACGCTCCACTCAGTGCCTGCGGCACGGTGGCGGATGCTGTCCGCACGTCGAGCTTCAGCGTGTGTGTGTGTGATGTTTACAGATAAGAGGATATCGCTGATGTCTTTGCTTTCCTCTAACGTTTAGGGCTGGTGGGGTTCTGGGGTGCCAGGGCACTTCAAATAATTGGCCCCGCCGTTGGCACACTCCATCGCCCCCGAGTGCGCCTCGTGGAGCGGACGTTGCGTGCGTTTCGGGCGCCTGTTTCCCGAGCTGCCGTGGGACTCTACCCCGTGCTTCACGTGGTCAGGACCGCCATTGGAACTCAGCTGAAGGCTTTGCAGGCCCGAGGGTGTACGATTTCTGTGATGCTTGTGCAGTGGCGCTGTCGGTGTCGATCCATTTGAAGTTCACCGTTCCCAGAATGTCATTCTGATTCAGATTGGAGGTCGAGAGATCTTGCATCTGTCCACAAGGGTTCACTTTATCTTCGTCTGGGATGGTAGCAGGGTCTCTTATCGAACTGCGCTTCTTCCACCGCGAACTTCCATGTGCCTGCGCTCCCTTGTACGGTCTCTTCCTCCACGCATGTTCGTTTCCAACACTGGTCTGAGAGCCTCTCAGGGCATATCCAGGCCATACACTCCAACGACCGGCGACGAGACCAAAGGACACGGGTTGCACATTGTACCTGCTTCTGTCTGGTGGAAGTCTGCCTCGAGACAAGTACTGAGATTGAATGTGCAAACGTGCTGTTTGGATGCCACCAGGTCAACGCGCGTGAGTGCCCAGGCGCGTACGCGCATGTGCGCGCACCTGCCCTCCTACGCATGCGCCCGCGCGCGCATGTGCAAAAGTGTAAGAGCACGAGTGCCCGAGTTTGGCGTGCGGTCCGGGTGAAGGTGAGATACACACGGGCGTTCCACACTGGCCGAAGATCCCGTGGCGCCGGATCGCTTTCCGTGCTGCCAGCGTGGCGCAGTCCCTGACGTTGGCGGACTGCTGCCGCTGTCCGCTTAGGTCTCGGTCTGCTGGGCCGCCACTTCGGGGCCATTCGCAGCACACAGTGGAAACCCATGCCGAGAAACACCCTGCTCGCCTCCAGGGTGCCCTGGGCTTCTCGGGTTGCGATGATTTTGCGATGGACAGGCGCGACGTGCCCACACCAAACAATCCGTGGACGCCCTGGGGTCTCTGGGTTGGGTTTCTTGTAGCAGGTTTCTGGTGGACTGGCCTCCGCTGCATCCGGCTTCCCCGCGCCAGGGCCTGATGACGGCAGGCTCGCGTCGCGTTGGGGCGGCGGCGGCCCCAGACCCCGAGGCCTCCCATCGGGGTCGAGCGCCGGCGGCGGCGTGGAATCGGCCGAGGCCGAACGGTCTCAGAGGCGACGAAAGGGGCGACTTAGCCCCGGGGAGAGCAATGCACGGTCTCCAGGGGGCGTCGATGGTCCATGCCTTCGGCGAGGCTCCTGGACGAATACGTGTAAGGCCCGCCCCTGGGCTATTCGCCCCTATCGTCGCCGCCGACGGTCTGCGCCGTCGGGGGGCCGCGACTGCTCAGGGCTGCACGGTCCAAGCGGTGTCAGGGACCAACGTCGACGTCATCGCGACGGGAACGCGCCGTCGAGTTGTGCTCTGAGGCGGAAGGGCGCGCGCACGCGGCAGCATCTGCCTCAAAACATTTGTGTGTGCGTGCGTGGGGGCAGAAGGGGGCGCCAGTAAGCTCGTGCTGCGTGTTGTGCATATGTGCATATTATCTTATCTCTTTTGTTTGTTTCTCTCTCTTTTTTTTCTCTCTCTCTCTCTCTCTCTCCCCATCAACGTCCACACCGTATGAATTTCACTCACCCTCCTCCCTTGGAGGTGTCCGGAAGATCTCCCGCCCCCTCCGCGTGCTGCTTTTTATTCAGCATTCAAGCATTGTTCCCCAAACAGCTTGCTGAACGGGGTGCTGTTGTGATAGAAGCTAACTCCGGCCGAGGGAAGTCGGAGCAGAGACATCCTCACAAAAATTTGATGGTCCGGGCCGTTTCGCTTGAGACATCCTCATAACTCTCGTTTCTGAGTTGGCCGGGATTGGCCGTTTCGCCTGAGACATCCTCGAAAAGTTGCGCTCCGAGACGCCGCGCGAGAGGTGGTCCGGGCCGTTTCGCTTGAGACATCCTCGAAACTCTGAGTCCCGAGGTGCCGTGCAAGAGGTGGTCCGGGCCGTTTCGCCTGAGACATCCTCGAAACTTTGAGCTCTGAGATGCCTTGCGCGAGGTGGTCCGGCCCGTTTCGCCTGAGACATCCTTGCAACTCTGACCTCGGAGATGCCGCGCGAGAGGTGGTCCGGCCCGTTTCGCCTGAGACACCCTTGAATTTCTGAGCTCTGAGATGCCCTGCGCGAGGTGGTTCGGCCCGTGTCGCCTGAGGCATCCTCGCATCTCTGAGCTCTGAGATGCCGTGCGCAAGGTGGTCCGGCTTGTTTCGCACAAGACATTCTCGCAATTCTGAGCTTCCAGATGCCGCGCAAGAGGTGGTCCAGCCTGGGGGCCCAGAAGACCACATACATATCCTCCCTGGGACCCTGGGAGCCCGCCTGAGACATCCTCGAACTTCTGAGCTCTGAGATGCCCTGCGCGAGGTGGTCCGGCCCGTCTCGCCTTAGACATCCTCGCAACTCTGAGCTCTGAGATGCCGTGCGCCAGGTGGTCCGGCCTGTTTCGCACAAGACATTTTCGCAACTCTGAGCTCCCAGATGCCGCGCAAGAGGTGGTCCAGCCTGGGGGCCCAGAAACATATCCTCCCTGGGACCCTGGGAGCCCCAGAAGGCCCCAGAGAGCTCCAGGAGGCCGCAGGACGCCCAGGACAGGCCCCAGGGGTCCCCAGGAGATTCCCAGGAGGCTCCCAGGAGGCCCCAGGAGGCCCCCTATCAGAACGTGTCAAGTTAATACACATCCGGTGTCGGTTCGTTGATTTTGAGGAGCCCAAACGGCCACAGGTTAGATATTCCCCCCTGGGAGCTCCAAGAGGCTTCAGGAAACCCCAGGTGGAGTTCAGGAGGCCACAGGGGGCCCAGGAGGAAGCCCCAGGAGGTCCCCAGGAGGCCCCAGGAGGCACCAGGAGGCCCCCGCAACTCGGAGCTCTGAGACGCCGCGCTCGAGGTGGTCCGGCCCGTTTCGCCTGAGACTTCCTCGCAGCACGTTTCGCCCGAGACTCCGGCCCGTTTCGCCTGAGACATCCTTGCAACTCTGAGCTCTGAGGTGCCGTGCGCAAGGTGGTCCGGCCCGTTTCGCGCAAGACATTCTCGCAATTCTGAGCTCCCAGATGCCGCGCAAGAGGTGGTCCAGCCTGGGGGGCCAGAAGACCACATGTTACATATCCCCCCTGGGACCCTGAGAGCCCCAGGAGGCCCCAGAGAGCTTTAGGAGGCCGCAGGACGCCCAGGACAGGCCCCAGGGGTCCCCAGGAGATTCCCAGGAGGCTCCCAGGAGGCCCCAGGAGGCCCCCTTATCAGAACGTGTCAAGTTAATACACATCCGGTGTCGAATCGTTGATTTTTCCTGCTCTTGCGCCCCCTCCCCCCCCTCCCCATTTTGGGGGGCCCCGACGGCCACAATTTAGATATCCCCCCCTGGGAGTCCCAAGAGGCTTCAGGAAGCCCCAGGTGGGGTCCAGGAGGCCACAGGAGGCCCAGGAGGAAGCCCCAGGAGGTCCCAGGAGGCCCCAGGAGGCCCCCACAACTCGGAGCTCTGAGACGCCGCGCTCGAGGTGGTCCGGCCCGTTTCGCCTGAGACTTCCTCGCACCACGTTTCGCCCGAGACATCGTCGCAACTCTGGGGTCCGAAATGCCGCGCGCGAGGTGGTCCAGCCCGTCACGCTGGAGACATCCTCGCAACTCTGGGCTCCGAGATGCCCTGCGCGAGGTTGTCCGGCCCATCTCGCCTGAGACATCCTCGCAACTCTGAGCTCTGAGATGCCGTGCGCAAGGTGGTCTGGCCCGTTTCGCACAAGACATTCTCGCAACTCTGAGCTCTCAGATGCTGCGCAAGAGGTGGTCCAGCCTGGGGGCCCAAAAGACCACATGTTACGTATCCTCCCTGGGACCTTGGGAGCCCGCCTGAGACATCCTCGAACTTCTGAGCTCTGAGATGCCCTGCGCGAGGTGGTCCGGCCCGTCTCGCCTGAGACATCCTCGCAACTCTGAGCTCTGAGGTGCCGTGCGCCAGGTGGTCCGGCCTGTTCCGCACAAGACATTCTCGCAGCTCTGAGCTCCCAGATGCCGCGCAAGAGGTGGTCCAGCCTGGGGGCCCAGAAACATATCCTCCCTGGGACCCTGGGAGCCCCAGGAGGCCCCAGAGAGCTCCAGGAGGCCGCAGGACGCCCAGGACAGGCCCCAGGGGTCCCCAGGAGATTCCCAGGAGGCTCCCAGGAGGCCCCAGGAGGCCCCCTTATCAGAACGTGTCAAGTTAATACACATCCAGTGCCGATTCGTTGATTTTTCCTGCTCTTATGCCCCCCCCATTTTGGGGAGCCCCGACGGCCACAATTTAGATATCCCCCCCTGGGAGTCCCAAGAGGCTTCAGGAAGCCCCAGGTGGGGTCCAGGAGGCCACAGGAGGCCCAGGAGGAAGCCCCAGGAGGTCACCAGGAGGTCCCAGGAGGCCCCAGGAGGCCCCCACAACTCGGAGCTCTGAGACGCCGCGCTCGAGGTGGTCCGGCCCGTTTCGCCTGAGACTTCCTCGCAGCACGTTTCGCCCGAGACATCGTCGCAACTCTGGGGTCCGAAATGCCGCGCGCGAGGTGGTCCAGCCCGTTACGCTGGAGACATCCTCGCAACTCTGGGCTCCGAGATGCCGTTCGGGATGAAGAGGAGGTGGAGGAGGAGGAGGAGGAGGCATGTTTAACATGCCAAGCCAGCCCGCACTGGACGGGCACGCAATCGACCTTGGAAACCGCAGTGGGTCTAAAAACCCTGTTTGGGGATACTGCACTCCGGCTATAATTTGTTCTTACGGCTTGTTTTATAATTTGATTGTTTTCGGTCTTTCAAAATGGTGTTCCCGCTGCAGCGTGGGCCTCATTTTTGGATCGGCGCTTGACTCCCGTCGTTCAGAATGGCGCTCTGACCCCAGCGCGGGCCACTTTTCTAAATCCGAGTCTTGCTTTCTTGTGCCCCCCCTTCATTTCCCCTCCGCCTTCCCCTGGTCCTCCTGTTCAT